GTGTTCCAGAACTGTCGTGTTGCCTGCCAGACGCGAATTCCACGAGGACCGGGGAGGATGAGAGGGACCGATCTTCGTTCGGCAAACATTTAAATAATTTCGATCCCGCTTGTTGAGTTATTTGATTCTATCGCTTCGTACACACAACCTTGTCTGTCCGCAACAATTAACTAAGTGTCACGTAACCGCCACCGTTATCATAGTTCGCCACTTAACGCGGGGCTCAATGAAATCGGAATTGTTGCAGACGCGGTGTTACAGGCCGCGCACCAGCATCCGAATTGAATTTCCGAAAATTCCTGCGAAAACACGTCGCGTCGGTCCGACAAGCCGTGCGCGGACAGACGATAACTCCGGGATTCCTACGCGCGTCGAGATTCTGTCGCCGTAGTTGTATTGTCCGCGCCGGACAATGCACCGCCTGATTGCGAAGCGGCCGGGCGAAAACTTGACCCGAAAATAAACCGAATCGCTCGAACGCGCCCCGGTCGACCGCCGCCAAACGCAGTCGTCCGAAATATAGAGAGGAAGGGAATTGACATGGGGACTTCTGTACTGGGTGTCTTGGGACAACTGAATGTACTCTTAACCGCATGTATACCACGGGTCAGACACATACCTTATCCGTAATAAACTTGAAACATAATAGAATATCAATTTCCAATTTATTTCTGATGGAATTTAAATTGACAGTAATTAAATTTCAGATTTAATCACAAATCGCTCTTCCGTTAACTTTGCAGATCAAATTCCAGATTGCAACTTGAATAAATAAATACGTTCTAAAATATAGAGTCAATTGTTCCAAATTTTATTTATTTTTTCATTCAATATAAAAAATGTTGTGATATATCGTCAATTAAATTTTTATCGATAAAAAGCAACTTCGAAAAGTATCTGACTGCCAGAATGAATGCTTCGTATACAAGCGGGCGCTGAAACGATTCTTCGATCCAAACATCGGGCGACGCTATTGTCGTGCCGTAGCAGATGAAACGTCGATCCCGTTGCTGTCGCACAGGAAAGCAGACATAGACAGGAAAAAGGGCTTACGCGGCGACGAGTCACGGTGATTTGCGAAAGAGAACGGTGCCCATGCTCTCCTCTCTCAAACCGCCTGCGAAACCGTCCATGTTCGACTGTTCAGCGAATTTAAGCGTTTTCGCGTGTTTTACGAATTTTATTGCATTATCTCATGTGTTGTCTAAAATGTCACAAGTTATCGTTGTTCACCTGTAATAAGACGCGCAACAATATACAATAGCATGAACAGATTATATGAAAATCTCGGTTTTATTCGCTATCGCTGAAGAGATTGCTTTCATCTCTGTATCTCCGCTAATGGATTCCTCGGGAAAGGACGGGGAAAAACGAATGGGCGATGGTAGAATGCTGCCGGCGTAAAATTCCAGTAACGTAAAACACAACGGCGGCTATTCTCAGACGGCAACAACATTCTGTAAACCGTGTAAAAACGCAGCGCCCATATCGAATACTACACCCGATATCCGGCAAAAGAGAAACTGACGCGGGATAGGCGGCAGCTTAGTTTTACTTTCCCCGTATAGTAATGCATGGACTGCTCTTCCGCTCGATTATAAATACGAATCGGGGCTTGTGTGAAAATCGCTGCTCGTTTCTCGCGGATGACTTGGTCCGCCTGAGACGGTCGCAATGAGACGGTTTATATTCTTCGCGATGGAAACTCGCCGCTAAACGCGCTATGGTATCTCATAAACGAGAAAGAAGCACAGAGGCGGGCATAGAAAACTGTTCAGAGAAGCGAATGAAGATTATACACGTATATGCTCTAGTATGATCCGCGAAGAATTTGCAACTTGGACTCTATGTAAATATTGAATAACTCTTGAAAAACAAGAAAAAACGTAAATCTTTACGATTTTCTAAAAGTATAAATTAAAGTTTACAATTTTTAGTTAAAATGATGGTTTTAATATATCTAATTATTTCAAAACCACGTGGGTACACTCATAATTCGAAAGCATATTAATAAAACTTTGTCAAACGAAGTTTTAAATGACATTTTTAATAACTTATTAATGAAGACAGTTTTTTAATGAATATAATTCTTTCAAGTTTATTATTCTTATGGTCACTTTTTGAATCTATCACTTGTAATTGGTTTTGTATGAACAATCTACTTGCGTTTATCCCTCGTTTTCGTCGTTTGTCTTTTCGTTTCCAATAAATGTACGTACACGTTAAAGGAAAATAAATTTCTATCGCGAATGATACGTCCTTTTAGGATGTCGTTAAAGGATGTAGTGGATCTTTCCCTCATATATATAACACGTAATCCACGGGCCGTAAACGGGGCGAGCGATAAATCTTTATGGCGAAGTTATTTCGGAACTTATTAGCTGAACATGCATGATGCAATTCTTCCGAGAGCTCAATGTGTTACATATTAATCAGTTTTAAATTAACATATTATATCGTTAGAAAAACATTACGAATTCGGATATCATCAAATATACATGAAATTAAAGCAGTGGCTTTAATCTAGCAATAATTCTTTTAACACGGTTGTTAAATACGTAAAAATATGCTTTCTTTCTTTTTATTGCTAGCATATTTTAATAAAATATAATATTTAAATTATATATGTAATTATTAAGTAAAGAATACATGTATAATTATTCCATTTATATTTCATGTTACATCGCAAAGGATCGGTATCATTTTGTACAATGTTAATTTAAAAAATATTTATTCGACAAAGTTTATAATTCACTGAAATAATTGGAAATAAACCATCTATGCAAACTACGAGACAGCCGACTGCCATAGCGGGGGGCTATAAACTGTTATGATCCTGTGCTATCCTATAACAAGCTTATCTGCGGGGAAGGGCCCCAGTTTTGATATAGGGCTTGACCATAACTGCGTAAGCAGAAAAGTACTTCTGCACACGTTTTCACGACGGTATTTATCGCGATATTTCATACAGCGCGAAATATCCCACGCTTTTTTTTCCGCTTCGCGGATGTTTCCACCTGAAAATGTTCGTAGAGTCCAATGTTACGTTAACATCCGCGTTCACCGCGTTGTATACATTTACCTCCTAAAATTTTTTAACAGGATCCATTAGCGAGTTTGGCGTTGAAATTAATCACTCGTGCGCGCGCGTGAATCGACGAAATTGTTCAATTAGTTACTCGTTACTGTGGATAAACTAAGTAAAAACAAAGTTACGTGTTACCTTTTTTGTTACAGAATAAAATTTTTTGCACGAAAGATTTTCAAAGTCCGATCCCAAAACAAGTTTCGCCGAATTGCTCTCGTAAACAACTAAATGTAGCGCGAGCCTCCAGCTTCTCTTTATGTTAGGTCACGGAAAATTGTACTAGCTTTCCTGGTAATGCGACTTCGCGTTCCTTCCTGTTGCCATTCGTCCTCAACAAACACGATCGCGCACGAAGCGAAAACGGATTGGTCTGTCCGGCGCGGTCCGTCATTCTTTTCTACCTATTCTCCTTAAACCCACCGGTTCGCTCTCCATCCACTGGTCGCATTGTAATTCCGACCGAACAGTTTCGCTAGTGGCAAGTCCCTACGTGCCCGGCATGTCAAATTCGACATATAAAACTGCCGTGGAGACAGTAACCGTTCCGGCTTAACGTATCGTCGGCACGTGTCACCGTCTTCGTCGTCGTCGTCGTCTTCGTCGTTGTCTTCGTCATCGTCTTCGTCGTCCTCGCCGTCGCACTAACCGTTGTCGTACTGCGGCTATTACTATGGCAAACGCGAGGACGCCCGTAAATAATTGGTATCGGATGCTCATTAGCTAAATCACCCACTGTTATCGCCGAGTCGACTCACGAACGCTGTAGCACGACAATAAAATACATTGAATGGAATACTGCAGGCTGCCTCGAGAGAAATAAATAAAATCCTCACGAACATATATGATGGTATATGTCTTGTCGGTCTATTTTCTTCCGCGGGCTGAAATTTTTCTAAATATTACATCGTAAATCTTACAAAATGGAACAAACGTCAGAATACTTTATGCGAGTTAAAAAGTACGGAATTAAACTTTGAAAGGATTATCGCAATTCTTAGTTTAAGCGAACTTTACGAAGACTTGAAAAATTTAGGAAATAGTGACAAATATAGGACTCTCGTCCCCAATTCTTGAAAAAGAAAAATCGACTACGTGTTTGCTCAAGTATCTGTAGTTGGCAGGAAGTGCATTGTATTTAGGGCACCATAAGAACAAATGGCACGTATTATTAACAGGCGGTGAACAAAGAAAGAAATAATGCGGAAGGTTTATTAGTTGCAACTCTTCGTTCTCGAACGTCCCACGAATCGTTATCGGGTCCGTTAAAAATTATCCTTAATTAACTGTTGTCGGGAAAGTAAATTTAATTAAATCCACGAACTCAAAGCGTGTCAAACAAGAACATTTGGTGTTTAACCTTTTTGTTACGATAAACGAGTGACATCAAAAGTTATCTCTGAAAGTTGTACTTAAAGTTCAATTGTTTTATATCTGAATGCATAATGTCTTCTTTCTCTTATTCCACGACATGAAATTTAATTGAGAATAACGAGCTTTAAATTGAATTCAAGAAATGAGCAAATTTGTTATACAAAAAGACGCGTTATCGTCCGTCATAAATTATAACAGATATACAAGTTTTAAAATGTATAATGTAAAATTAAATACTAGAAGTAACAACTTTCAAATAAATTCTCGCGTTTTGTTAGTCCTGTAACCCCGACGAATTTTGTTGGCATGCGATACTTATTCAGCATGCCAAAAGTTATAACAAAATTTCTACTACAAAAAGTATCTACCATGTAGAATGTATTTTTACATTGAAATACATTTCATGCAAAAAACGTTTACGAATTATTTTAAAACAAACGAAAAGCTGACTGAGTGTTCTTGTAAAAAGCATGCATGAAAAATAAAATGCGAGACTCTTCTCGCAAAAAATCTGTCACATCAAATAATGGCAGGAACTCACAGTTAAAATACAACAGTATTCCAGCGACGAAGACGAAGATGACGACCAGGAGCACCAACAGGAGCAGCAGTATCGTTGGCCTGCACCAAGGGCTTCTGATTACCTCGGTTTGCCTGCTGTCTTTGGCGCGCTTCTGATCGACCACCGCGGACTCCCCGCTAACATTCACCACGACACCCTTGTACGTATATTGGGGCGCTTTCTTATCCGCCAGGAAGCCATGATCATCCTCGGGATCCGAATAAACCCCGTAAGCCTCAAAATTATTCTTTCTATATCCGTTCATCTTCTCCGCGCCAGTCTCCTCCTGATCTGGATGCTTCCTGACATACGCGCCGGAGGAGGACGAGCCCAGCTCGCCAATTTTCAAGGTTTGATCGTACGACTTATCCTGGTATCTGGACGACGGGGTGCCCTCATACTTGGCCCTCTCGTAGCTCTTCGAGCTCGTCAGCTCATACTTGGACTCGTAGCTCTTACCACCGCATTCGTACGGCTGCTCGGTATACTTAGGCTCGAAGGTGGGCCTGGACTCATAGGTTGGCTCGTAAGACTTGCTGCTCTCGTACCTGGGCAGAGTGCCATACATCTTGCTGACCGAGTGATATTTGCTCTCATATTGTCTGGCTGGTGGTGGCTCCTGCTGTCCGGCGCAGGTGCCCAGGTCGTAAGCGGAATCGTGAGTTTTCACGCCTGACTCGTAGCCCTTGGAGGCGGCTGACTCGTAGATCTTGCCCGGATGATGATGGTGATGGTGGTCTTTCTTGGGCTCCAGCTTCAACGTCTCCTCGGCGTAGCGTGACGCGTACTCGTAATCAGTCAGGTCGCGCGAGTACCGCCTGCCGGGGTCCTGGAGCTCCGGATAAGCTCTGCTGAGCTTTTGTGCGTCCAGGTTTCGATCGTAAGGCGCATCCAGGTCCGATTCCTGATAGGTGCGCTGATCCACGCGGCGATCGGCGCCGTATCTTAGCCCGTCCTCCGGGTAGATCCTGTTGTCATACCTCTCGAGGTTCTCCCGATCGAAGCCGACGCCCCCCTTACGATCGTAGTTCCGGTATCCCCTCGACTGATCGTGATAGGCCCCCTCGTAGGCCGGCGCCGCTGAGGCGGACGACTGAGGGTCCTGATAGGACTTAATCTCTTGGTACTCCAGATAACGGGAGGACCTTCGCTCACTACCATAGTCCATCGAGCCCTCGACCACGTTAGGCAATTTGCTGCTCAAATTCTCACCGGTTCCGGCGGCTAGCGCCTGGCAGGTTTCCGCATGCTCGACCAGATTCGGCAGCCGCGACAACGAGCTACCTGGCGTGTTCTCCGTCAGGTCGAGCTTGAGGCCATTGCTGCTGGTCCTGCGCATTTTCGAGGATTCGCATGATCGTTCCGCGGGACCGCGCTACAACCCGTGGACGATATAGCGCCGACGATAATAGCGGTAATCGGAGTCTGCCGCGCTGGTTAATTAGGAGTGCATTTTTGTATTAGTAGCGGATTCTTCGCCGGGTTAGTGGCTGAATATTACTACACCTGGAAGCAAAGAGAAAAAAGAAAGTAAAGGTTAGTATTGTTAGTATTGTTAGTGAAATGTATATTTTTATAGTTTATGCAATAATAAGGATTTTGGAAACTTATTACGTTAGCAAGTTAATACATTATTTGGAGAATATTTAATAAACAATTTGAAAGAAGGAAATTTCACCTTAACGCGTGATTAGTCACTAAAGTAATATATTTATGCTAAGCCACTCGATATTAATTAATTGACGATTTTTCCTAGCGCGAACAATTTTAGTTGTGCAGGCATTCGATGGTTTAATTAGCTTCTAAATCTTTAGCAGTGGATCTAATAGTGGCTGGCATGCACGCGCGCGTATTTATTATTCGTTATCGACGCAAGTATATATAATACCTCTCGATACAATATTCGGGGGAGGAGGAGCAGGAAGAGGCAGCGATAGTCTGTAAGCGCTTCTCTAGACCGCGATTGCTCTCCGCATGCTCGGTAGCTCACGAATGGCCACTATAGCCAATGATGACGATAATACTCGATCGTGCGTGACCGAAATGCGGCTGCATCGCAGTCAATGATAATGCGGCCGTCCAATGCATATCGGACGGAGTTCCCGGAAAATTGAAGTTAAACACAATGAATAGACGATAGCAACGTTTCACGTTCAGCAAACAATTTCCTCCGAATAAAGATTCGCTTCTTGTTGCAGTTTCAGCTTTTCTCCCTTTTATTCCTGTCTCGTCTTCTAAATAATTTTTACTTTATATTGTTGCTATATTTTCAATGTTTTTTCAAGCATTTAATGTAAATGCTACGTTAATATAAATAATATAAGTTGATCGTGTACGCATATAGTCGTAATACAAGATCACGCAGCTTACTTTGTTACATGTGTTCTAAATGGCTTTGTTTAAGTAAATATAATCTATGCTAATTCTCTAAGATACAAGAGCACAATGCTTTCATTATAAGCTTCTTTATTTCATTTTCAAATAGCCTTATTAAATATTATATTTTATAATTTTAGAAGCTTGTATATATACAATTTATAATATTTTTGTATAATACATTTACATACCTAATAATTGCAAAGCTATGTAGTCTAACAGTATTTTTCATAACTTAGGGAAGGCAAGAAACTTTGTTACATTATATGTTTAACGAGAGTTTGTAATATTCCAAATTTAAACGTGGTCGCATTTATCGTAAATCCAATCGCTTTCATCGTGTTTTTAAAGTATAACTACATTCCCGAGAAAAGTACTTTGGATCATAGGTTTAACGAAGTCTACATTCAATAGAATTCCGATTTTAATTTGTTGAATAGGCCGGCATGGCGCCGTCAAATCGACGCCGGATCGATAAATCACATTATTGAGCTAAGTCTTTCGATTACAGTCATATAATACCGTCCCCTCCCCGGTTCCGTTCTCATTGTCAGTCGACGGGACGTATTCGCGATTGAACGCCCACGGCAGATCGATCGATAATTAATTAAACGCGATTGCGGAGAAACGACAAACGTCGCGCTCCCGGAAGTTTCTATGAGAATACCGACAAGAATACCACCGTCTACCATCTCTCCCGAGTTGCGGACTTCCTCGAGGAGTGTTTCGCAAACCCGCCGGCTACGACGACGACGTTTGCCTTACATTGTCATATTGCATCCGAAACGGCTGACTCTCTGCCTTTAATCCTTAATGAATGAGCCGGTATTACGACGTAACTTTAATCGAATAAAGTTTCGATCGTCGTAAGCGTTGATTTGCAGGAATTATGAGACTTACGAAAACTCCGTTAGTTGAAGAAAGACACGACTGCGGGGAGATAATCCTATTGTACTGAAAAGTTTTAGACGTTCAAATTATTATTTTCTTCAAAATCTAAAGAATAAATAATGTTACAATTCGCGTGGTTCTTTTACGTTAATTCGAAACGAACACGCGATCTACGATATTTTTGCTTTATATCAATTTGCTTTAAAATAAATGCAGGTAATATGTCGTAATTGCAGAGCCATTATCAATAATTATTTTTCGATAGTATCGAATAAGCGGTATAACGTGACGAAATGAAGAATATTTAAGCGTTAAGCGCATCACGCTGATAGGGGGCCGCATTTCCTTCTGAAGTCGATCAATCGCTGACGATCCTCGCGCCGGCTACAAAACCCTCGCTGTTCGTCATAAAATTTTCTCTAGCGACTAAACTGGAGTAATAAGTATGACAAGGGCTCAAAGGAGATTGCTGTTCCGCATGCAAATATGATTAGTTCCGGCGCGTAACTTCATTTGCGTATATTAAAAGCGCGGATAGCTCACTTTATGCAAACGACGACGGGATGGGCGTCGAGAATGAGGGAGGAGGAGCGGGAGGGAACAGGTGGAGAGAGCTGTTATAGGAGAGATGAAAAGGGTGGGGAAAAAAAAATGTTTCGCAAAGAATTATAAAGAGCGAGAGAAGCTGCATTGGGGGGAAAATAGGGCGACCGGGCGGAGCGGGGGCGCGAGAAGCGAGAAGAAAAAAGGTGGCATCGTTCTCTGGATTCTGATTGTTGGTCGTTAAATGTCCCGGCCGCGCGCGCTCCACGCTTTGCACTTAAACGTAACGTAACTTCGTAGAGACAATGGTAATCGTGTGTCACCTGGCGCCGCGACGGCGCGGGCGTCCGCGCAAAATTGCATCGAGCTATAAACTCCTCGTATGAAAAAAACAAAGAGACATTATAACTGTGAGAAACGTATCCCTAGTTTGTCCCTGTCACGCCTGACGTTCATTTGTCAAGCGTTCGGCCCTTCCAACGTAGCAGGGCATGACAGAAACCAAATATGCTTGATACCGGATACACGCGCTTTTTCAAGCCAATGCGGTGAACCTCCGGCGTCCCATTTACGCCCATCTCTTTCTCCAGTAACTCAAAATCCGACACGGTGTCATTTGGTGTCGTGTTTATTTGTCACAATGCCCCGCGTCAGAATAACGATAGGCTTTAATAAAAATCACGATACAGTTGAGGTCGGGGCGCAGCCATCGTATTTTCTCACTGTACTCGATCCGTATTCTCTTTTTATTGTCAATGTCACGCGAACGACAGTGTACGGAAAATTTTCTCCCTTAATGGGAATGTGCCAGACGACTTGAAAAGTGCATCCCGTCCCATCTGCTCCATTCTATATCGCTCGGACAAAACTCGGATTTCATAAACGCGAACGGGAACGCGCTGCTGTGGCTCGTCGCGCGTTTGACTCGTCCGTAGCGAGAGCGGAATATCCGACATCGCGACGAGAACACGGAATTAATCCGCCTCTCGCTTTTTGCCCTCCGCGCTGTCGCGCGTGCGTTTTCTCTGGCGTTTCGCGTCGAATGGCAACGATTATTGTCGCCGGTAAACGCACCCTGGCTGCAGCCGGAAACAATTCGGGCCCGCGAACCACCGGATCAGCAAACGCAAGTCCTGTGCCATTCTCTCGGTTCCCAGTTCCCGTCGCGTTTAAATTCGTCTCCCCTCCCCTCTGAATATGCACGATCGTACGTATGAAACTATTTTGCTTAATGAAGCGCCGTTAAAACTTTCCCCGATAGGAATCCTCGGAAACCTGCGGGTCTCACCCAGCCCTTCTGTGATTCCCGACTTTGACGTCGGATCCTTCGGACGTCGCCGGCAGATATTCCGAAATTGCGCGCGGCATATTCCGACTAATAATTCCATCTTGGTATGCGCGGCCATTCGATGCCGGGGAACCCATGACTATAGTAGCACAACATATAAGACAGAGCTCCACGTAAAACGTTTAGAGGTGTATCGATCAATTAGGATTATTCGTCACATCATGATGCGAAGAATAATGTTAAGCAATATTTAATTGATTTGTATTGTAAAATGTATTATGTTACACAAAGACACCTTATGTAGCTATGAAAGGTCGATAGAAAACGATGATTAAATCAAGCTAAAGCATTTTTAAAGACTCGTTACACATGGTAATTGGATTAAGACGTCAAATAAAGAATGACGTTAGCAATTGGATGATTGGAAAATATTGCCCAAAAAAATGTATCAAGTTCACAAAGGCTTTAGATGACAGTTTAGATCACAGTTGATACATAACGAGAGCATCGAGTGGAAATACCAAGTTTTGGAACGGTAAGCTTTGCGTTACGTTTGGAACAATACCTATTAAATGCTTGCGACACATTCGATCTAGGCATCCCGATTACAATCTCACTGTCTCTAATCTCGCGGTCCGCGCCGCGAGAGAATTTAATCCTGTGGGACATCGCCGCGTAAACCTGCCTTAACAAGTAAAGGACTATGAACGAATATTAAGAGGAAATATTGTGATATTCTGATAAGATAAATATCAAGTCGTAGTTGAAGTTTTCGTCGAGATACTTCGATGTTTCGCAAAGGAGAAAGAGGAGGAAATGGAGAATATCGAGAAATATTCGAAAGAAACAAATTAAATTACCTAAGGACGCTTAACTTCACTTACTTCAATTTGCTTGAATAAACAGAGAGTCTTTTACCACAAGTCTCATTTCGCAGAACTCATAGGCGTGCTTTGATCAATTTCGGATGAATTTTTCTCCAGCAGAAATTTCCATCTTCTTAATTTCCAATTTTAACTGTATGTTGATAATAAATATATGCTTCAAGTTTCTATTAAAATAAATTCTTTTAAATTTTTATTTGAAAATGTAATAAATTAGTCTTACGATTGATCTTTAGTACCTATATATTAAACACAATGATACTAGTATTATCGAATAAATCGCTGTTTTTTTTTCTTGTAACAATTACCGTCAGTAAAAGATACGTGTCTGGAATCTGTTTTTATACTCTTTTCTGGAAATCTTCACACAAGTTTTTATTTTTGCAACAAACATTTAAGAACAGTTTTTTGACGTTTTGCAGAGTACATCATAGAGATAGCGGCGTCGTCCGTGAACGCAACGGACGATCGAGAATGAAATTGCGTTTTGTAAAGTCTCGATGGAAAAATAAATAAATAAAATG